CCCCTCACTGATTACACTGTAAATGATAATCTACCTTAACCAAAATCAAAGTAGACTATCACTCACCCACACCAGATGGAAAACTCTACATATTTTTATATTATTTTATATTTATTTATTTTCATTTTTGTTTTTATCTTAAATTTGGTAGAGAATTTCGATGTGACCCTGAGGCAAAAGTTGTTTGGAAAGCCGAATGGCTGACTGCTGAAAATCATGCACAGTCGTCTTGTTGAAAAACTTTGCCCTGTGCAACTTTCTTATCACCTCCTCAGCCCGGGCTTCTGATCCTGTTCCCCTACCTCCTCCATTGGACGAACTTGTGCCTGTATGTTTGCTTGAATATCTGTACGGGGTGCATCCCTTTTCCCTAGCGACCCCAACGTATGAGTTACCGGTGGACCCCAGGGACTGGGGATGGGAAGTGGGATCTTCTGATCCAGATAGGGTGCCACTCTATCGTTATACAACCCGCCTCGGATATCAGACCTCGAGACCCAAAGTAGATATGAATTGGATAGTGGCTTGACGGCGGATGGCCACAGGCTGACTCCAAGACTCGACGACTTGTTTGGCCTCGGCCCCACCAGAGTACTGGAAACTGTTGATGGACCTTGGAGTGTTCAAACAAGCGAGCCTGTTGTGGCTCATCACTCATCTTGCACTTCCAAAAGCGTTTAAGACTTGGTGTGCGGCGAGGACATCCAGGGCTTCGCCTCTCTGTGCCCTGTGTGCGGGGACAAGAATTGAGGACCTTCAGCATTTTTTTGCTGAACTGTGAAATCTCTAGACCGTTTTGGGCGTGGTGGCGATCGAGTTCTGTTCCTGTTCCTCAATCAGAAACCCAATGGACAGATGAGTTCATCCTTTTGGGAACGCCAGTGTGCAGACAACAGGGGGACTTGGCATTAATCTACGCAGACCAGAGTTTGAGAGCAGCAGTGCTGTGGTCACTTTGGACGCTGTGAAACTCGGCAGTGAGACGGGGTGAAAGATTGACACCGCCAATGATCAGAGCTGAAACCAAGTTTGTGATCAGGCAGACTATTTCGACGGAGTGGTCGCTTAAAGTGCTTGCTAAGGGCTTCTCTGCTGATGCACAGAAACTGTTCCATCGTCGGCGGTGACGGTTTCCCCCCCGGAATTGCTGCATATCCCGGTTGAAGAGGAGTCACCACCACCTGAGTTGGTTTTCTCTTCCTTTTTCCTCTGCCAGTTGCCTGTTATTTTTTGAGCCGTCAATCATTTTTTGAGCCGTTAGATTGATGTTTGTAGGTTTGGATTGTTGTATATAATACTATAATTAATTAATTGGTCTGCTTTTTGTTTGGTTTGAACAGCTTCCTTGGCTTAGTACGTGCACAGTACTGTACTGTAGGTAGCCTTAGGTTGTGTATGTACCTTGTGAGTGCTTTGACAAGCTTAGGTTGATCTCTGTGAGTTGATTCTGTTGTCTTTTGTTTGGCACACAGTACTCTCTCCTGCTGGTAGTCATAAAAATGGTAAAAACGGTTTTTTGCCAAATTTTTGGGCATTTCTTGCTGTTGTGGTAGGTTAGCTGAGATAGGGCGTTTGTCAGTGCAGTGACTGACCCCTTCGAGTCAGGCCGGTGATGCCTGGCTCCCAGGACCAACTGCGTAAGCACTGTGAGGGACGCCGGGCCAGTTTCCTGGCTTGTATATATAAAAAAAGACGGAGTGTGAAAAAAGAAAAGTAAAAAAAAGTTGTTCAGTTTATTTTTTCAATTTTCTGCATAACATTTGTGTTTTTCCAGATTTTTTTGATTTTTTTCTTCTTTTTTTTTTTCCCGCTGCGACCCTTTGTGGTCCTTGCACGGCCGAGCCGAGCCGCCCGGGCAAACAAGGTGACAGGGGCGGCCCGGCTGGTAGCCTAGGCTTTCAGTGTTTTACATGAAAGTGGGGTTTCCCCGTTAACCACAAAGGCCGACCCATGTTGTAATTTCCATGCCCTTTGAAAAACTGAAAATGAAAAACTCGGTTCTCATTTGAAGTTGAAGTAGCACATCCTGTCTTTCGGGACATCCGTTAAAATTGGAACGATACAGAGAAGATTAGCATGGCCCCTACGCAAGGAATCGAGAAATGGTCCAAATAAAAAAAAAAAAAAAAAAAAAAAGTAGCTCATCCTGCAAGGCCTTTAATCTCGTGGAGGGCATCATTTGCAACAGAAATCCCAGGATGACGAGTCATCCCAGGACCCCGGAATGCGAAACAAAGTTTTGATCTTCAGTGGTAGGGCGATTTTTTCAATTTGCAAATACAATCAAATGGATGCGGCATAGGTTCTGCCGGAGAAAAAAATCCAAACTAATAAATATAAACTCTGTCATTACTCGGCCAGCCATGAAAAAGAAAATCAATGACAAAACCCCTTATGCATATAAGCTTTTTTTTTTTTTTTTTTTTTTTAAGAATTGCCCAGTGCCCAAGCCAATTACATCTGCAAAATAGCCAACAACAAGGACAGCCGGGTTATCCCACCCCACCGGGAGCTTGGAACCCCGTCCCTGTATACACAGTCTTCCCACCCATCCGTCAACGCCAGCACTGGCCCTGGTAATAGGAGACAAAAGAAAATCCATCACCAAAAAACCTACGCGGAACATGTCCCACTTGCACCGTTTAGTTGAGGCAGCTCAACGGTGCGACAGCTAAAAAAAATCATTCTAATTCAATTTCAATTTTCAAATGAGAAATGCATTTATAAATGGCACGAATACAATTGTTCTGGTTTTTCTTTTTTCACAATTGGAGTGGCATACGGTCACTTCCATTCCACAGCAAGAAATGAAAATGAAGAGTGAGTTGCCAGAATCCCTTTTGTACAAAAATGGCAAACGGAAGGAGGCTCGTACAGTTTCTCTAAAAAAACGCCCTTTGGGGGAACAAGAGGATCTTTGAGCTAGCTGTCTCGAAAAAAGGAGACAGCTAGCTCAACGGAAAGTGGCGAGGGTAGGGGGAGTAGTATTCGAGAGAAAGGATTTACTTGTGCTTTTTGTTGTAAGAAAAAGCAAAGATAGTCTCTATTGCCTTTTTTATTAAAAACGGACCGCTAGATGACTTGGACGACGTGCATCTCCGTTGAGGAAGGGGAGAGGGAGTGGAGAGGCAGAGAAGAGGGAGGGGAGAGGCAGGGGAGAGGGACGGGTGAGGTGGGGTGTTGCGGGGCGCCGACAGTGTGAAAATTTTGAGAGTTCCGAGTTTGACGAGGTTTTGCACTCTAGTCTGGTTAAGAATCTTGGGGGAAAACAAGAAGGTTGAAGAGCTGATATTTTCTGGGGGGGAAAAAAACTAGAGAAAAAAATAGCCTTTAAAAAATTAAAAAATTGCATGTGGGACTTGTCATCTAGGATCCGTTTTTGGTGCTATTGCTTGTTGCGCCCTGTTTTGTTGTATTTGGCTGTTGCCTTCCTCTTTTCTTTGCCTCTTTGCCCTTTGGCTGTGTGCAAGTGGGTCGATATGACACACGGGGGTGGGGGCAGCCGCCGCTCAACCTACATCCACGTGGGCGGCTTTGTTCGCAAGAGGTTCTGAACAGGGGGAGTTGTAAGAGAGAAGATAAAAAAAAAAACGAATTATTTGTTATTTTTTCTTGTTTTCTTCTGTTTTTTTTTCGCTTTTGCGCTCTGATATTCATGTGACAACGGTGAAACTCCGACGAAACAGTTTGTCACAGCCCCTCGTTTGTTGTCCTCTACTCTCTCTCTGCCTACGGTTTACCGGGCAGTTCTGTTTGTGACGATATATATATGGGCAACCCTAAACCGTGAGGGCACGGCCCCCGTAGTTTTGTATGCGCCTAACTGATGAACGAGGCATCACTGGCCAGGGTCAGAAGCTGGACCACTGTTGCACCAAAAAAATCGAGAAATGGTCTTCTCCCCGCCCCTCCCCCCCCCCCCCCCCCCCCCCCCCCCCCCCCCCCCCCCCCCCCCCCCCCCCCCCCCCCCCCCGGCCGGCCCCCCCTCCATGACCAACGAAAGCCTAGCTCAGTTGGTACACCCACGAACTGTTGAAATGCAGACCCGATCTCGAATCCAGTGACAATCAAATGATCAAATGACCAACATAAAAGAAGTCTTAGACCCCTTCCCCGGGTTCTTTCAGCATCAACGTACCCAATACAGCGTTGGTAGTTCAGTGTCCTTTGGTGTATTGCCGAACTGATGGGTTGCCGATTGTGTTAATTTCGCGCGTTGAACATTCCTGCGAGCAGAGATATATAAGCATATCAAGTGCAAGGTGTTCAGTTACAACGAAGGAGGTTTGGCGGGTGTGGGGGGAGGCGGAGGCGGAGGCGGAGGCGGAGGGCACGGGGGGGGTCGCAGGCTGGGGTCGTCGCCATGTCGCACCCGATGATGATACACCCGCGCAAAGGGACTGTTTTGATGCCAGGAGGTGGCGGATCACCGACGATCCTCTTGGCTAAACCGTTGGCTGCTTCTTCAAGGGGAGATGGGATGGGTCAGTCAGCACCGTCTGTCAAAATTATGCGAGATGAAAGCCAGGTTAAAGGGAAGCAATCATCGGTTGGGAGTTTGAAACTCGTCAACGAGAATTGGGAGTTTGTGGGAGAGAGAGTGGAACCCCTTCTCTTCGACGGGAACATAGATTACACTGTGGTTGGGGTATTGGGTTCTCCGGGTTGCGGCAAGTCGACGATCATGAATGAGATCTACGGCATGACGACGACGCTGGCCGCTGCAGGAGGAGGAGGAGGGGGAGGGGGGGGAGGGGGCGTAGGTGTAGGTGTAGGTGTCCCCCCATTTGCTGTGCAATCGGAAGAGAATCGACTGATGGCGAGACACTGCTCTGCGGGAGTCGAACTCAGGATCTCCACGGAGCGAATGATTCTGCTCGATACTCAACCTATTTTTAGTCCCTCTCTCCTGTCGGACATTGTGCGACCAGACGGCTCCTCCTCGCTGTCCCCCTTAGGAAGTGAACTTGCTCTTTCTGCTGAGCTCTGTGCCGAGATGCTGGGAATTCAGCTTGCAGTCTATCTCTTCTCGATTTGTCATATTGTCCTCTTGGTCACCGAAGGATCTGGAAACATGTCCATGTGGCAAATGGCGCAGAGAATCTTCATGCTGAAGCAAGGAATCCCTGACCCTTCCCTCGTGCCCTCCGCTTCCCCGCCCTCTGGCACCTCAAACACGTTTCCACAGCAGTCCCAGACTAATTCCCAAGGCGATGGGGGAACTTTGCCGCCGCCAGCGACGGCAAGTGCAGCCTCCACCGAAGGGGACATAGAGAAGAGAGCAGCGAGGAATGAGGTAACTCCCACTGTCGTCGAGTATTCCGCAAACCTTATTTTTGTACATAACAAGCTACGGGGGGAGGAGTGTTCTTGGAGGGCGATGTCCAGACTGGGCAGATCGCTCTCTGCTTTCATGACCTCCGCCGATTCTTCAATCTCCTCCCTGACACATTCTCTCTCGCCGCAGAGTGCAAAGGAGGGCACTTCAGGTTGCTATCTGTTTATGCCATTGAACGCAGGGCACTTGACATCGGCTGATGGGTCCTGGGAACGAGAGGCGCTGAAGGGGAAGAAGGGGGTGCAGAAAAAGGGGGCGAACGGGAGATTGAGAATGGAGGGAGCAGAGGTGAAGGAGGATCGTAGATCGGTCCTTCTCAGGGGTGAAAGGAACGTGGTAAAGGGGGATAACATTGCCCCCGGGCCAGAGGGGGGAGCCGTCCAGGAGAGAGACGTTTGGCTGGGAGGAGCGGCAGGGTGCAAAGGAGGGGCTATGACCCGAAAGCGGGTACCTAATTACTTCGCCATCCCCTTCAAGCTTGGGGATGGACAACAACAACAACAACAACAACAACAACAACAACAGCAGCAGCAGCAGCAGCAGCAACAACAGCAGCAGCAGCAGCAGCAACAGCAGCAACAGCAGCAGCAGCAGCAGCAACAGCATACGTCCAACACACTGCAGATGAACCTACGACAGAGTGAAAGTTATGCAGTGATGATGCAGGGGCTGCGGAATGAAATCCTTCATTTTCCACGGCGGTCGTTTGCGAACCCAATGTCAGAGAGAGACTGGTTATGGAGTGCAAAGCGCACATGGGATCTTGTCAGGAAGTCGCCGATTATCATGGAGTATGCCAAAATGCTGCAGGCGTCAGGTCTCTACAGAAGATGACTTGGGAGGAGCTGTGGCTACTCTCTGTAGCTTGCTGCGACGGGCTACGTACTGTAATAGCTTCTCGCTCTTTTTTTTTGTTTGTTTGACTCGCTCTTGTATAGATCCGGCGACGATCTTGACCAGATGCTGGAAGGCAGAAAGGTGCGCTTACCACAGTGGTGTTAGTGGTGTTTTGTCGTTTTGTGGCGCGTTCCATTTCCGGCAAGTGAAGACAAAGTTCGAAGGAGTGGGGAGGGTGAGCCGGCGGTCGTGGAAGGGGGTACCGTGTTCGGAAACAGCGCGGAGCGGTTGCGCAGATAGCGCGTGTCATGCGATGGATCAAGGCATTTGACAGTAACGTCGGAGTCGAACGCTGCGCTTGGGGCGTACGAGAGAGAGAGAGAGAGAGAGAGAGTCGGCGTTCTCGCTCTCTCCCCAGGTCGCTTTGATCGCGCGCAAACACCAGCTACCCCCTCCTCCCCCCCTCCGCAGGGAGGGAGAGAAGATGACGAGGAAGGACGACGAGGGAACCTGAATACTATCCGGCTTCCCTCTCTCTCTCCCTCTCTCTCTCTCTCTCTCTCTCTCTCTCTCTCTCTCTCTCTCTCTCTCCGGCACGCACACAAACACTCGAACGGCGATGACAAACTACCCGAACATGAATAGTAAGGCAGCACACCACACTGATGAAACACGACCTACTTCAACCCAACGACGCTCCCATCTCTCTCTCTCTCTCTCTCTCTCTCTCTCTCTCTCTCTCTCTCTCTCTCTCTCTCTCTCTCTCTCTCTCTCTCTCTNCTCTCTCTCTCTCTCTCTCTCTCTCTCTCTCTCTCTCTCTCTCTCTCTCTCTCTCTCTCTCTCTCTCTCTCTCTCTTACTCTGACACACACACATGCCAGGAAGGCATAAGTATCGACGTTGAACTGCAACGAAATGCGACCACGAACGACGACGAAGCACACAACGACAACAAAACCAGAGGAAATATTACAACACTAGTATGCCTTCGCTTCTACTTGTCTCCTCCTCTCTCTTCTTTTTTTTTCCTTTCCCTTACTAATCTGATTCCAGCGTTGCTTTCGCATTCCCATGCCAATTACGCTCTCTTCTCTTTCTTGTACTGCATCCGTCGCATGCCGATTAAAGTATGCAGATCTCTTCTTCCCCACCCCTTACATCCTTGCTTGTTCTCCTGCCTTCTACGCCAAAAATGGAGGACAAATAGACGTCCGATTCATCACCAGGCTTGAAGAAGTTGGCAGGAAGATTGCTAGGGTTCGCAGTGCAATCTCTGCATCAGAGGCGAAGGAGGTTGCGAGCGGGAGGAAAACGTTCGCGGTTGAAGGGCGGAGGTGTTCTCTGTGTGTGTGTGTGTGTGTGTGTGTGTGTGTGTGTGTGCTCATGTTCGCTGTACGCAACTCCACAAAAAAAGCATGGCTGTGATACTCTGTGTGTGTGTGTGTGTGTGTGTGTGCTCATGTTCGCTGTACGCTACTCCACAAAAAAAAGCATGGCTGTGATACTCTGTGTGTGTGTGTGTGTGTGTGTGTGTGTGTGTGTGTGAGAGAGAGAGAGAGAGAGAGAGAGAGAGAGAGAGAGAGAGGATTGAGTCGAACGCTTTCCGTTCGGCTTTGTCAAAATTGCGCGTGCATTTGGGAATTGTAATTTGCATTCTGTCGTTCTTTTTATTTTTTGATTGGATTATCGTCAACGAGCTGCCCGGCCCCAGGTTTCTCAGAGTTAATCAGATTTTTCATGATCATTTTTTGGAATTGGTTCCTTGCTTCGCGCTTGAGTAGGAATTTTCGAATCCATTCTTTTATTAATCAACGTTCTTCAGTCTTTTTTTTTTTTTTTTTTTGCAATCCAACCAAAATTTATTAAACAGGTCAGAGACTCATTAATCTGTTCAATTTTTGGAATCGGTTCCTTGCATCGTGTTATATTTTTGTTCATCAGAGATCCACTCACTGCTCAGGCGCCTTTTCTTGGAAGCACTTGCAAGTATATTGTCACGAGCCTTTTTTTTTGCAATTCAACCACACGACCCTTTTTTTGTCATTCAACCACAGAGTTGCACATAATTGCACATTTGTCCCTTCTGCGAATTGCCGTAACCTATTTGGGCCAACCTCGCGCGCCAATCACGCCACCGAATTTGCTCAGGTCCTAGGGTGGTGCCACTCATCCCGGATTCGACCAACAATGTTCTGACCACAGAATACAGAAAACCTGAGTGGGCCTCGAACCGGCCACCTATCTGATGCAACACAGGCATGTAACCACATGAGCAAGCGGACAGGTGGAGTGCTGGTTAACTGAGACCCAAACTTTCAGCGTTTGTTGAATGCTATTTATAAGAAAACCCGAAGGCCTTTTTACCAGACTTTGCATCATTCCATAGACCGGACACCATCTAGTACCTTTGCCGTCCGTTTTTTTTAGTTAATCCTTCAGGCCCTAATGAGCTTATCCTTCCTTCATGAGTAATCTCTGCCAGAGGGTTAGGGCTGGACCACACTGGGCGGCGGCTGGAAACTGGTGTTGGCCACAAAAAACGGCCGACCATGGTTGGAAAAAACTTGACGCATTTTGAAGGGACCCCACCGCAGACCGATAGTTTCGGCACTGGAAAAGGCATGGCATACCCGAATAGGAAACCGCCGAAGGGTGTTTCCCGACAAGGCAAGTCGGGCGGGTGCTGTGGACCATGGCCTGGTACCGCACTGCTCTTGGGAATACCGTGCGACACCACGGGAAAATACGAATGTTCGCCACGGCCTCCGGGTACACAGAACGGTCCACAGGGAGGGTGCATGGTCCACACCGTGAAGCCCGTGTCTGGAAACTGATGGACATGCCCCCACCCCTGCTCAACTGGCCGCCTCCTTGGAAAGGGTCTGGAAACCGGTCAGCATCGAATTTCCAGACCGCGGACCATGTAGAAACGCCCTGTCACCATTTCGGCAACCTCTTTCCAAGCGCAGTGGGGTCTGGAATTCCTTCCGGGCCGGCTTTCCACACCGGTTTCCAGACCCAGTGGGGTCTGGAAAACACCCCGGCGCCCAAACGTTTCCAGGCCGCCAGCCAGTGGGGTCCACACCTTAGTTTGGGTTTCGACAAGTTTTTGTCTACCTCCGAAATTTTAGGAGGCCGGGCCCACTATTTTTGAACCGACAATGGTACTAGTGGTTTAACAAACCACCCAAAAAAAAAAAAAGGAAAAAAAAGAAAGGGTGAAAGTGTGAGGCAAACCTTGAGCTGTTGAAATACAGACGGGAGTTTGAATCCAGATGATGGTACATGATGAGTAAAACCAAGTGTTTCTGAATTGACTGGGGCCGATCAGCTCAATGATCATATCTCAAGGGCGTCGCCCTTTCTTTTAAAAAGAAAGAAAGAAAGAGAAAAAAAAAGTGCACTTGGAAATTTGCATTTTAGCCTAGGCTACCAGCTGGGGCGCATGGGTCACCTTGTTTTCCTGGGCGGCCCGACCGTGAAAGGACCCTGGAAGGTCCCAGCAAAGAAAAGAAAAAAAAATCCCAAAAATCTGGAAAAAACTATGTTATGCAGAAAAATGAAACAACTGTTTTTTTGTTTTTCTTTTCAACAAAGCCGGGAACCGGGCCCGGCAGCCCTTATATTTTGAAGAGTTAGGAATTAGGTCTGGCCTCCCTGACAGAAGGCAGCTGGTCCCATCGGAGGGCGAGACATCACTGGTCAAGCCCCAAGGATAGGATCACAAGCATTCATCAGCCCAAAAGGTAAAACGCATAGAACGAATACTAATTTCCAGGATAGGATACTAAGGAATTACTATCTATATCACTAACAACTCACTATTCAAACACGACCACCAAGATTCCCACCAGAACTCTAAAATAAAGGTCATGAAACAAACCCTAATTTCAGGACGAAGTACCAGCTAGACACTGTCCTTCACACCTAGCAATTGCCCAAACAAAAATGAACCAAAACCATCAAGGAAAACGAGGTTTCCATGGCAGCACAGGCGAGACCTAACTAACAGAGTTATGGAAACCTTTGAAGATGCAGACTAATTTGAAAGAGGCACAATCCAAAAACACCTAAAAGTCTATCAAACAGCGAAGCTCTCGCCTAAGGCGGCGAGCAACTGACCAGCATTATAAAACGAAGCCATGCTCCTTACTATCTCTCCCGATCTCTTTCAGATACAGAGCAAGCCTGGATAACAAGTGTCACTCCTCAGAAGCAACCAAGGCGAAAGAGCAGCATGTAGATCCAGTTCACGAATCTAATTGAGGACGCCCATTCCACGTGCCAGCGCTTGATGCTCCAATCATTCGCGGGCTAACCCTAACGATAACGCTCGAGCAGGAGACCCCCGCAAAGCTTCCGTATTAAAGATCAGTTCCGTAAGGTATGGTGCAGCATTCGGGTCCTATCGGTCGATGGCCCCAATATATTGCACTCTCCTTCCTCCACCGAACAGGGAATCTTGACAACAAGTCAAGTAAGACCATCAATGACGAAAGACTTGTAACAGCCCCTCTGGCGCGCCTCATGAACATCCCAGTGTTCTACCCCGCTCCACCATGGTCATGCCAACACCAAGTATTGGCAATCCAAGCAGACTGGTTTCATCAACTTCGCACATGGGCGAATGCCATGATTAGGGCGGAGCGTTAACGCACCTTGCCGAAGCCCCACCGTCACAACGAAATTTTTTATCAGATTTAAAACAAAAAATGAAATTACGCAATATATATATATACAGGGTCACCAGCCCGTACGTACGGATGTCCCCGGGCAGACCTCCGTACGTACGGGCGTTCGGGGTCCCGTACGGGGTTCGAACCCGACGGCGTTCGGCCCCCGCCAAAAATTATTTCGGGGCCTAAATTTTATTTTTTTTTTCTGAATTTTTTTTTGTGAGTTCTCTATGACGTGAGGTACATGCCTGAAAGATTTCAAGTCATTTGGCTAATCGAAATAAGAATTAAAAATGGCCGAAGATGGCGGTGTCAAAACGTGTTCTCCCACGTTTTTTTTCACTTTTTACTTTTTGTTTTCATTTTAGTTTGGGATCTAAACAATTTTATTATTTTTTGAAAATTTTTTCGTGGGTTTTTTATTATGTGAAGTACACATCTGTAAATTTTCAGGGCATTTAGCTATGCCAAAAAAAAATGAAAAATCGCCAAAGATGGCAGTGTCAAAAACATGCTCGCGCATTCACTAAATTTAATTCTCTTTTTATTTTTATTTATTTTTATTATTAGTATTTGTTTTTCGTATTTTATTTTTTTTCAAATTTGATAAGGAATTCGGATGTAATGCTCAGGCAAATCTTGTTTAATTTATTTATTCTCCATAACATATCTTTCTTTCA